ACTTACAGTAAATCTCCATGAAAAAAAACTAGAGAATCATCAACCAACGATTGGATTTCCATCATCACCACTTCCCTCCTGGCCACAGCACGTATTTCGAGCTCATGGCTAACATCTTCTCAGCCACTTGCATCTGAACCCACGATGTGCCTGGCTGGCTGAGGGTGTCTGGACATTCTCATCATCATTCTCCTATTAATGTGGGCACCACAATCATAAACCTAAAAATTATAGTTGTATAATCATATCTATAAATATATATATATACATATGTATATACACATGTATATTTGGGGATGGTCTATACCACCCAATTATGATGATTTTGGGATGGTTTATTATTGGCTTCACCTCAGTCAGTATTGTTAATTAATTTCTTTTTGGCCATGACTTGGGGGTCGATCATCTCCCATTCTCAGAATTTCTCAAACAACTATCCCTCAGGGCGACGCCTCTTGACAAAATGTTCGCATAGGATCTGACAAGGGCTCCGTAGCACAGCAGGTTCAACAGAAGACTACCTGAAATTAAAAGAAAAGACCACGAGCTGGGCGTGGCTGTCACAAATATGCAAGAATTGTCAGACCTGCTCACCATAAATAAATGGAAAATGTGCGGCTTTGTTGGCAAGACATCACGTCATTACATTGAGGTGAACAATGGACTTCGACAAAAATCAGTCACTAGTCACTAGTCACTAGTCACTAGTCTAGCCACTGTAGCATATGGTCCAAAAGTCGAGTTTTGCTTGCAGCAGTCTTTGGATTGTTTGAACAACGGTCATATCCAGCTCAGTCCCGCGCCAAAAGAAATTACTTTACTTCGTATGATCCCCACCATGACATTTATACATTTTGTTACTGGCAAATCTTCTGGCATTCTATCTGACATATTTTCTGGCATTCGATCTGGCATTCTATCTGGCATATCTTCTGCCATTCTACCTGGCATATCTTCTGGCAGATGTTCTGGCATATCTTCTGGCAGATGTTCTGGCATATCTTCTGGCATATCTTCTGGCATATGTTCTGGCATATCTTCTGGCATTCCATCTGGCATTCTATCTGGCATATGTTCTGGCATATTATCTGGCAAATCTTCTGGCATTCCATCTGGCATTCTATCTAGCATATCTTCTGGCATATTATCTGGCAAATCTGCTGGCATTCTATCTGGCAAACATTCTGGCACTTTATCTGGCATATCTTCTGGCATTCTAGCTGACATTCTATCTGGCATTCTATCTGGCATACCTTCTGGCATTCTATCTGGCATATCTTCTAACATTCTATCTGGCATATCTTCTGGCACTCTATGTGGCATATCTTTTGGCGTGGATACTCGCGGTTGAGGTCCGGCAGGGAACACTGGGCATGGATGGTCGTGGTTGAGGTCCGGCAGGGAACACTTGGCATGGATACTCGCGGTTCCGAGCAGTGGGCCGGGCAGTGGAGGTCCGGCAGGGAACACTGGGCGTGGATGGTCGTGGTTGAGGTCCGGCAGGGAACACTGGGCGTGGATGGTCGTGGTTGAGGTCCGACAGCGAACACTGTGGATCGCGGGTCGCAGTTGGACGAGGACGAGGAGGACAACGAGAGGAGGAGGACAACGAGAGGAGGAGGAGAGGAGGAGGAGGAGGCAGGAGAAGGAGGCAGGAGGAGGAGGACCAGGCAACTTAGATAAAATCTAACAACCCTCACCTGGCAGGTGGGGAAAAACATGATGAATCAATGAGCATCAGGAAAAAGATCGAGATGTATCAAGGACCACCGCTGCCGCTGACACTACCACCCGCACCAGCATCAGCATCAGCATCCGCATCAGCATCAGCATCATCACTATCATGATCAGCAGCAAATTCACCAGCATCAGCATCATCAAGAAGAAGAACAACAATGTCAATCTTTGGCGTTGTCCCCAGGTTCAATGGTGACAGCACGCCAAACAGCGAATCAATTGCAACTGGGTCACCACAGTACCAAGCAATATCGTGGAGCGCTGCATTCTCATCTTTACCAATGATGGAATTGGTCAACGAAGAGATCAAGTCAGCCTGCCTGATGCGCGTGGTGAAGTATGGTCTCATGGCCTTCATGAGTCCTTTGGGTCATGAGCTCTAGAAACAGCTCCAATGTTTTTACTCTGGGCAGTGACACCAATGCGTCTGGGCACAATGGGCCAATGCAGCCGTCCATAAAGCAGGCCATGCTGAAAAGCAGGAAATTTGCTGTGTCGCTGGCCAGCAAATAGTAACATCCGCTGCTAAAGGTGGCGAAAATACCTGAGTTGTTCCGAAAAATCACAACACGTCAACCCAACACGTTGCACGGTCCCACATTCACTGGCTCGCTTCCCAGGCACCATAGTTGTTGAAGGCAGATGTGCCTCCGATTCGGGCAACAACTCCTGCGCGCATTCAACGCATGGATATCTCCAGTGATCAGTTCTGGACATACTATTCACTATTATCCTATTAGATCACAAGCCAGGTTGTGAGTTCTTAGTTACACACAGTTTCCTGTCTTCCACTTCACTCAGTCATCTTGAAACCTCAGCCGGTGGGATCCTGTTAGCAAAGCCGCCGTTCCAGCTGCACCGCTGTGCTCAGAAAGCTCAGCACCAGCATCGCGGAGGAAGCGACTGCAGGGCCAGTGAGAAAAATGCTGGGTGAAACTCACTAAAATCCACCAAAATGCACTAAAATCCACTATAACTATGGGTTAAATCATGTCAAATTGAAACAAGAATCATAGGGCGCGCCGCTGCCGCCGACCCCCAAAAATCCTTCACTCTGGTTGTGTTTTCACGTTTTTCGGGGTCGGGGGTGGGAGAAAAAGATGCTAGAATTACCAGATGCTTTTTGGAAGTCTATTTTGGGCACTTGTTGGCGAACTTTTGCTGTTTTTTTGGTGCTTGCCAAGCGCCAAAACACTGTAATTTACAGTGGTTTTGTGCCTTTGGCATGGAAAAAGTACTTCTTGCAAAATACCAGTGTTCTTGCCAGGCGCTGGCCAAAAAACATTATAAATGCCGTGATTTTGCTACCAGAAGCAAAAAATTACTTTACTTCGTGTGATCCCCACCATGACATTTATACATGTTCTTACTGGCACATCTTCTGGCATTCTATCTGACATATCTTCTGACATTCTATTTGGCATTCTATCTGGCATATCGTCTGGCATATCTTCTGGCATTCTATCTGGCAAATCTTCTGGCATTCTATCTGGCATATCTTCTGGCATTCTATCTGACATATCTTCTGGCATTCTATCTGGCATTCTATCTGGCATATCTTCTGGCATATATTCTGACATATCTTCTGGCATTCTATCTGGCATTCTATCTGGCATTCTATCTGGCACATCTTCTGGAATATCTTCTGGCATATCTATCTGGCATATCTTCTGGCATATTTTCTGGCATTCTACCTGGCAAATCTTCTGGCACTCTATCTGACATTTTATCTTCCTACATGAGGTCCGGCAGGGAACACTTGGCGTGGATACTCGCGGTTGAGGTCCGGCAGGGAACACTGGGCGTGGATGGTCGTGGTTGAGGTCCGGCAGGGAACACTGGGCGGGGATGGTCGTGGTTGAGGTCCGGCAAGGAACACTGGGCGTGGATACTCGCGGTTGAGGTCCGGCAGGGAACACTGGGCGTGGATGGTCGTGGTTGAGGTCCGGCAGGGAACACTGGGCGTGGATGGTCGTGGTTGAGGTCCGGCAGGGAACACTGGGCGTGGATGGTCGTGGTTGAGGTCCGACAGAGAACACTGTGGATCGCGAGTCGCAGTTGAGCAGGAGGACGAGGAGGACAACGAGAGGAGGAGGAGGAGAAGGAGGAGGACGAGGAGGACCAGGCAACTGACATAAAATCTAACAACCCTCACCTGGCAGGTGGGGAAAAACGTAAATACCATGGTATTGGGCTTCCGAGGCGCAAAAAAACACCGGTACTTAAAAAACATCGGTACTTACGGTGTTTTTTGCTCCGAGAGTGTCAAAAAACGCGAAAACACAATCTATGTTACGATTTTAGGGGTACACGAAAATGCAAACATAAGATGTGTTGCAAGAACCATTACTTTACTTCGTGTGATCCCCACCATGACATTTATACATGTTCTTACTGGCACATCTTCTGGCATTCTATCTGACATATCTTCTGACATTCTATTTGGCATTCTATCTGGCATATCGTCTGGCATATCTTCTGGCATTCTATCTGGCATCTTCTGGCATTCTATCTGGCATATCTTCTGGCATTCTTCTGGCAAATCTTCTGGCATTCTATCTGGCATTCTATCTGGCATATCTTCTGGCATATATTCTGACATATCTTCTGGCATTCTATCTGGCATCTATCTGGCATTCTATCTGGCATATCTTCTGGAATATCTTCTGGCATATCTATCTGGCATATCTTCTGGCATATTTTCTGGCATTCTACCTGGCAAATCTTCTGGCACTCTATCTGACATTTTATCTTCCTACATGAGGTCCGGCAGGGAACACTTGGCGTGGATACTCGCGGTTGAGGTCCGGCAGGGAACACTGGGCGTGGATGGTCGTGGTTGAGGTCCGGCAGGGAACACTGGGCGGGGATACTCGCGGTTGAGGTCCGGCAGGGAACACTGGGCGTGGATGGTCGTGGTTGAGGTCCGGCAGGGAACACTGGGCGGGGATGGTCGTGGTTGAGGTCCGGCAGGGAACACTGGGCGTGGATGGTCGTGGTTGAGGTCCGGCAGGGCACACTGAGCGTGGATGGTCGTGGTGGAGGTCCGACAGAGAACACTGTGGATCGCGAGTCGCAGTTGAGCAGGAGGACGAGGAGGACAACGAGAGGAGGAGGAGGAGGAGAAGGAGGAGGACGAGGAGGACCAGGCAACTGACATAAAATCTAACAACCCTCACCTGGCAGGTGGGGAACAAGAACAAGAACAAGAACAAGAACAAAAACAAGAACAAGAACAACAACGACAACGACAACGACAACAGCAACCACAACAACAACAACAACCACAACCACAACCACAACCACAACCACAAACAACAACAACAACAACAGCAACAGCAACAGCAACAGCAACAACGACAACGACAACGACAACGACAACGACAACGGCAACGACAACGACAACAACAACAACAACCACAACCACAACCACAACGACAACGACAACCACAACCACAACCACAACCACAACAACAACAACCACAACCACAACCACAACGACAACCACAACCACAACCACAACCACAACAACAACAACAACAACCACAACCACAACCACAACAACAACAACAAGAACAAGAAGAAGAAGGAGAAGAAGAAGAAGAAGAAGCACAACCATGCGACAAAAAGATGTGTTACAAACTACGGTATGAAAAGAGCATCATACTGTGCTCTGCACCTGCGCGCATGCGCCGAGCACATGAACAACACCAACGCTCACACTACTTTACATAACCCTTATGGCATCGTCGCTGTGCGAAGCTCTGCAATTTGCAAGCAAAACCATAATTCCATAAAGGCAAATAGCAACCGTAGCAACGATCTATCAAGCTGACCCAGGCCTCACATCCACCTCTTCCCAGAAAGGTCGCTGTTGATTCAGATCCTGTTGCTCTGCCAACCGCAGCAATCGCTTTCGCTGCTTTTGACTCAGTTCCCGTTCCGGCGTCTCGCCAATGGCTTTTTGGATCCTGGCCAGAAACACACCGGCAGAGCTCAGCCGGTCTGCCAATGCCTAGTCAACGAATAGGGCCTATTCAGCCTACTCCCTGGCCCAACACAGGCTGAGTCACGTCGCGAGAGAGATGCTCTTACATCTGGCCATATCAGCCATGCGAGTGAACTTTACCCGTTCGGCTCTGATGACCTCAGAATTGGTCTGTGTAGCAGCATAGATGTTTGGCGTCATGACGAATACTGAATCAGAAAATTGGAATCGTTCAGTAGCATGAAAAATGAGAAAAATAATGCTTGTGTGTAGACCATGAGTTTATGCTTGATGCACACAACCACACATACCAGAGATGTCAACAATTTCACACACATCCACTTGCAAGCAACTCCACATCATCGCCAGGATGCAGGAATCATCAAGAGTCGGCCAGCTGCGCAAATGGGCACCACATACAAAAGCCAGCTTCGACTTTCTGAGGAGTGTGCCTTCCGTTGGGGCCATTGTGGCCGTTGTGGGAAACTGCTGATGGAAACTGGCTGCAACCCAAGGCACCAAGATCAGCACAGCAAAGATGGCCCATGATGTGAAGAAACCCAGCAGAAAGGCCTGGTGAAAGAGTGACAAAACAGTGACAAAACACTGTCCAAGTCTAAAACCACAAAATCCTGAAGCTGTTTGTCCATTGGCTCAGTGGTGTTACAAAACAGAGCAAAGATTTGTCAAGTTTCCAGCTTTCTTCCATGGGTCGAAGAGAAACGAATCCGACAATGGTGCTATAGAAATAGATAGAAATAGATAATATGTATATATAAGTGTACGCATGTGACGCAATGTAACGCAATGTAATCTAGTCTAGTGTATGTGTGCATATGTGATCATATGTGTGTATGTGTGTATGTATATTGTCTCTGTGCATGTGTGTGTGTGTTTGATGTGTGTACGCATGCATGTACCTGTATGTACCTATGCATCTATGCATGTATCACCTATGCACCTATGCATATATGCATCTATTCATCTGTGCATGCATGCATGTATGCATGTATGTATGAATGTGTGTATGAATGGATGTACAGTATGTATGAACGAATGCATGCATGTTTGTATGGATGTATGAATGTATGCATGTATGTCTGTATGCCAGTTCACCGAAAACCGTCGGGGACCGTGCTGGCGAAACTGGGTTGGTTGATTAAGCTTTTGGTCCTGTGGCACATGTCAAGCTGGGGTTGGGGTGGGTGGGACGGTAAAAAGCTCCGCGCACTGGATGCTCTGCTGGATTCAGCTTCATGAGATCTTGCACACACACCAAGAGAAAATATATGTCCCTATATAGCGATAGCACGATTGAAAGTGAAAATCGCTAAAATCAAACGTCGGAATTTCATGGATTTTGGGTCAAACAAAAAGACACCTCACTGCGACGAGAACGCAATGAAAAAAACATGTTTTTCTCACGACCTGGGTTTCCGGTCCGGCAGGATAATAATTATATATAAATATATATAATTATACATATCACATGACATATCATACATGACTATACGTGTTCGAAACCAGGCCATGGCAACTCCAGCTTCCTCACTCTGGTGGCAAAATTCTCCAGCCTTCTGATGTAAGAACATAGATCCGTAGACAACTGTGCCATTCCTAAGCAAGGTAGCGACACAGCCTTACCGCACATAGAGAATGGTGCAGGAAACAATGGCAGCTTGACCAGGAGAAAAATGGTCCGTGATTATCAAACAAAATGACCCAGGAGAGAACAAACGTGCGAAATCGCCGAGCATCACAAGGATAAGAGTGGTTTCGGTGACCAGAAGGGTTGCTACTAGGACAGAGATACGGAAGCCCATGCGGGCCAAAAAAGAGTCCTGCAGAGCCCCCAGCATCGATGTTAGACTCCACAAAGAATACTACTCAGGCGGCGAGACTTTGAATATTTCTTACTGTGATATGTCCGAATGCTACAAGTACAGGAATCCAAATAGGCTAGCCTAAACTAGTTAGATACTTGGAAGTGCAGCATTTGAAAGTCGAAATGAAAATTCAAAAAAACTGACGCCTCTTGCAAAAAGTTGCTATACTCGAGTAGGAAAAAGTGAGGCAGGTTGCAATTTTGCGTGAGCCTTATGGATTTTTTGGTCTGTAACGGTTACAGTAAAGTTGGCATGGAAAATTCATGTCAAGTCACCCACTCTACAACATTCTGCAAATGTGTTTCAGATCTGCATGGGGTTTTATATATTTTTTGCCATCCATTTCGCCTCCAAAATAAACCAGTCCTTGTCAGGTCGCAAGCCATTGTCTGACAGGCCAGCGCCCAAAAGGTCCCCATAAAGGCCAATCCAGGCAACCCTGGCAGCACAGGGACGAGTGACTGGTGGTCCTGATGGCATGGTCCTGTTGAAGCACTGCAGCAAAGTGGCAGAAGAATGAAGGACAACAAGAACCTTCTCGCTTGTTGCGTACCTGGCCCAAGCGCAGAAAATCAAATTCACAGGGTAAAACAATGTAATCATACCATGTTTCCGAAATCGTCAAAACATCACCAACCATCATACCTGAAATCTTCATTCATACCAGATAGTGCCCGGCATGCGCCGCGGCGGAAGTTTCAAAAGTAGGATTTGCCGAAAGGACCGGAAATCAATGGCCTATAAAAAAGTTTTTGCGATGCAGAAACAATGAAGTGTTGAAGTTGTGAGATGCATCACGGAATGAGCAAATGGTTGTTGAAATGCCAATGAAATGACATGAAAGAATCTGTGCACAACTGAGTGAACAAACCAATGAATTAATGAACCGGTGAACCAATGAATCAATGAGACAACGAACCCATGACTCAATGAATCAAGCAACCAGTGAACCAATGAATCAACGAATCAGTCAGTGAGTGAGTGAGGGAGGGAGGGAGGGAGGGAGTGAGGGAGGGAGTGAGTGAGGGAGGGAGGGAGCGAGCGAGCGAGCGACTGACTGACTGACTGACTGAATGAATGAAATGAAATGAAATGAAATGAAATGAAATGAAATGAATGAGTGAGTGAGTGAATGAATGAATGAATGAATGAATGAGCGAATGAATGAGTGAGTGAGTGAGTGAGTGAGTGAGTGAACGACTGAATGAATAAATGAATAAATGAATGAATGAATGAATGAATGAATGCATGCATGCATGCATGCATGCATGCATGAATGCATGAATGCATGAGTGCATGAATGCATGAATGCATGAATGCATGAATGCATGAATGCATGAATGCATGAATGCATGAATGCATGAATGAATGAATGAATGAATGAATGAATGAATGAATGTATGAACGAACGAACGAACGAACGAATGAACGAATGAATGAATGAATGAATGAATGTATGAGTGAATGAGTGAATGAGTGAATGAGTGAATGAGTGAATGGGTGAATGAGTGAATGAGTGAATGACTCAGCGACTGAGCGACTGAGCGACTGAGCGACTGAATGAAGGAATGAAGGAATGAAGGAATGAAGGAATGAAGGAATGAAGGAATGAAGGAATGAAGGAATGAAGGAATGAAGGAATGAAGGAAGGAAGGAATGAATGGAATGCAGGAATGAATGAATGAAATGAAATGAAACGAAATGAAACGAAATGAAATGAAAGTGAAAATGAAAATTAAAATGAAAATGAAATTGAAAATTGAAAATTGGAATTGAAAATGGAATGAAATGAAACGAGTCGAAATGACATGAAACGAAATGAAAGTGAAATGAATGAGTGAGTAAGTGAGTGAATGACTGACTGAATGAATGAACGAAGGAATCAGCAATGGCTCAGTGAATCAACAACGGGGCAATGAACTGATGAATCAATGAAACGACAATTGAGTGAACCAATGACTCAGTGAACCGGCGATTCAGTGAATCAAGGAACCAAAGAACCAATGCACAAGCGACTGAGTGAGTCGATGAACCAATGAATCAGCGAACCAATGAATCACTGATCCAGTGAAGCAACGAACCACTGAATCAGTGAATCCATGAACCCATGAATCAATGAACCAATGAACCAATGAATGAAGGGATGGATGGATGGATGGATGGGTGGATGGGTGGATGGGTGGATGGGTGGATGGGTGGATGGGTGGATGGGTGGATGGGTGGATGGGTGGATGGGTGGATGGGCGAGCTACTTTTCTTTATTGAGCTACTTCTTCACTGAGGGACCTCTTCGCTGAGGCACCTCTTCTCTCAGCTACTTCTTCTCTGAGCAGCCACTTATCGTGCAGCTGTTACAATGCGTTTAGCAGCCTCCAGCTGCTATCCTGCATAGCACAAGAGTAGCACTATGGTCAAGAGCTATCTTTCGCGCAGCTGTTACAGCGTGCTTAGCAACCTCGAGCTGCAATCCCGCTTGCCAGGAGCATCGCAGAAACAGTCATGCTTTGCTGTGCGCAGCTGTGCCAATGCGTTTTGTCACACCCGGTTGCAAACCCGCATAGCAGGAGCATCGCACCAAATCGACCAACATCCGCGCAGCGTCAACAGTGCGGACTCGACCACACAAATCCGGGGCTGCTCCAAGACCTCCAATTTTTAAGCGTTTTTATGTGTAATCGAGCTCTCGGTACAGTCTGGTGCGCATTTTGCCGACCTCCTCATCTTCCAAAAGTGCCCCGAGACCGACCCTCAGTTTTTTTTTACATTTTGAAGTGCAAATCGCGCTCTCACTACAGTCCTGTGATGTCCTGTGCACTTTTTGTCGACAACTTTGCCGGATCAAGCCCCGCAGCTGCGGAAACAGAGACCCTACTTCGGCGACCCCAAGAGCCACATTACACGAAAAAAGCACAGGGTTTCGCGCCCGAGAGTGTTTTCACCCGTTAAAATCACGCTTTCCCGAAGTGTTACTCTTCGCTATATAGGCTATATACTGATCACGCGAACTGCTCTTGCTCATTATGTTGTTCACATGATATCCCATTACTGCCCTTGGACATTTGTCCGTACCCATCGCTGCATCGCCTGGTGCGATCGAGACCTCCAACAATAGATTCGTGAGCCGCGCCATGACTTTGCTCCGCCTTGATGGCCACAGGAACTTCAGATGTGGAATTGGAATGGCTATGCAATATATATATATATATGAAACGTATCAGAACTATATCAGAAATATATCAAATCTATAATGTTATATATATTACTATGTAAATACTATATAAGTGTCCCAAATATGACAGTTCAATACATTCCATATCAATATGATGTGTTGCTACATCTCTCCACATCTCTCCATTAAAAATACAGCACATGTGGTAAACAAAAAACGTAAACTATCCTCAATGCCCTAGGACTTACCCTTTTTTGGGTGTGTGGATTTCAACCAATTTCAATCATCCCCAATTTCGGAGTGGTTCACCCCACCTCCGTGCAGGATACGGCATCATGCGCGAGTCTATCGTCAGGAACTCGAGGGTCTTCGGTACATTCTGCTTGCGGACCGGATGAAACCCGCGTTGATTCAGGTGCAGCTGTGGTGGATAGTGCTGGCTGTCCCGGTGAATGGGAAGAAATACGAATATGAGTGATGACTGTGGCTTTTTGTTGCTGGTTTCAGAACAAGAATGAGATAAAGAGAATCCAACAAGCCTTGTGGATACGGTAGCTTGCTTTGGGCTCTTGCATGGGGAAGTCTTTGGATGCTGCTCAATTTGACAACAAGCATTTGTTCTTGCAGACATACGTGCAGGTTATAGGTCACTGTGCATTCACTGCTGTCTCTATATCTATAAGCAAGACGCTTGTCGAAGCACTGGGAAGTGGCACAATGTTTGCAGTTGCAGGCTACATGCAACATATGCATGTAATCCCTATCTACATTAGCGGCTAGTGATCATGCATGTATCTGTATATCTCATCAATAAAGGAAACACTCATGCAAATGTTCAAGTGTACAAGACTGTGTAAAAATCTCTCTCTCATAGTGTGTACAGCAATCAGCGTGTTTCATCCTGGGTTGCCAACATACATCCCAAGCAAAGCCAAGCGAAAACCGCTGCCAAACTGGGCGCCACGGACAGATGCCTCGTGGCCCAGTGCAGAGTTCGCTAGTGGACCAGTGAATCAGGATGATATGTGCCGTGTGGTTTATGAGTGTTTATAAATCCCTGTTCACGGATTGATGACTATCCATCCCCTTTTGTGGAAAATCCCATGCTTTGACTATGACTATTGTACCAACTAATGCACATATTCCAAGTCGTTGGTCAACTGAACGAATCTGCAATCCAATTGATTTGGACATAGTCCAGTGGCCTCACTAGGTCTGCCTTTTTTGTCCAAGGTCAAAGTTCAAAGTCACAACTTTGGGAATCCTAGAGTTCGCCATCTGCCAAGTTATCTTGGTTGAAAAACTGCCGGCATCTAGTCGTGCACCTTGAACACCAGAACGCCTGGTGCCACCAATCCCAGATAGAGTAGAGCACATGTCACAATGAAGGGCAGCCTAGGCCACAACTCGTCAACGAGAGTTGACCCATTGAACAACGCCTGAAAATTTGAAAACATGTACTGATCTGACTGCTATGTCAGCTTGGACATCAACACTGGGGATAAGAAGTAATGTGTGTGTGTGTCTGTGTCTGTGTGTAGATATTATATATGTATATCATGCACACCTATATGTATACATAGATACAAACATATCTACACGTATCTATGCGTATTCAGTGTTTATGTATATTATATAATATTCACAAATATGTGTATATACATATATATATAATCATAATCATATATTATATATACGTATATATATATACACAATACATAGGATTTTGTTGGGAGAATCCTGCGCTCATGGAAAATGCTGGTGTTTTTGTCATCTTCAAGGCTGAAGAATGGCTTTTCAGACTGCAACTGGGCTTGTCCTGAAATGGGATATATCATCATCCCACAATGGCTTTTGTTTACATGTCGTAAATTATGAGAACTCTCTGTTTGTTTACAGACAAACTTATGATCAATCGCTGGATTTTGGATAATCTTAGATATTTGATGGATAATTCAGGGCACCGAAATTATTGGACAAACCAACCTCTTCTCTCTGAGGTTTTGGGCCGGTTCAGGCGTCCACCTTGTTGCACTGCTCGCTCTTCAATACGGTTTCGCATCTCTCGAAACCTTCGGCTGGCAGATTTCCTTTCTCGCATCAGAATCGTGGTGAGAAAAGGAAAACCATTCCATATAGGGTGGTATAACCCCCCATCATATAGGCGCGTATGGAATGATAACGGACTATGGGGTTGTATCTCCGCATTAGGCACGTATAGGGTACGATAATCGATTATGATAATCATGCCTGGGCCCAATCAATATTGTGTAGTATAGCATAGTGTAACCCTCTGAAATATCCGAGCTAATCATCGACCAACTGGTTTTCTTGAAACTGTCCGTGTATTTCATGGCAGCTGAAAAGGATCCATCCAGATTGAGCCAAAGCCTGGGAATGCAAAGCTCTCGCCACAGAAGAAACAGGTTGAGCCTTGAATGCAAAAACAAAAACGACAAAAATAACGACTCGCAGAATTGTTGTTATCATTGTGCAACCTGCTTATACCTGCTTCAACTGATAGAACTCCGACAAAAAATGTCTTCATCACACATGGTGTGACCTTGACTTGCATTTCTGTTAGGAAAACAGCGTCTGTTCGCGTTTCAGTCCTACAAAAAACTGCGCAGACTGATTGGCATGAGGTGACTCAGGTGAGCACCTCACCCCATACAGCATAAGGCAAAACAAATGCACAGCTGCAAGACCAGTCGCATCTCGCCAAAGGAGGTAGGCTGACAGCGCCTCACGAGGCCAACTTCAACCAGGCACGAGTTGGTCGGACTGTGCAATTTGGCTGGTGTGTGCTTCTAAAGTACGATCATCTTGGACCATACTCAGAAAGCGTTTAAGTATATTTTGTATATGTGACATGTGTATATATTCATAATATATATATATATCTATTTATATTATTTATATATATATATTTATATATATATGATTATATATGTGTGTGTTCATATATGTTCTTGAGAATGTACACACATTATGAGCACACCAACACAAATGTAGTCTAGAACTCGCAGGGAGCGAGCAAACGTGAATGATTTTGATTTTCGAAAAAGCAGTCACTTGCAGCCACTTGCAGCCACTTGCAGCCACTTGCAGCCACTTGCAGCCACTTGCCCAAGCAGCCACTTGCAACCACTTCCAGCCACTTGCCCAAGCAGCCACTTGCAACCACTTCCAGCCACTTGCCCAAGCAGCCACTTGCAGCCACTTGCAGCGATTTGCAGCCACTTGCAGCCACTTGCAGCCACTTGCAGCCACTTGCAGCCACTTGCAGCCACTTGCAGCCACTTGCAGCCACTTGCAGCCACTTGCAGCCACTTGCAGCCACTTGCAGCCACTTGCAGCTACTTGCAGCCACTTGCAGCCACTGGCAAGTGGCTCCAAGTGGCTGCTACTGGCAAGTGGCTGTAAGTGGCTGCTTTTTTGAAAATCAAATTGCGCACCTCCTGCGCCCACAATGAGAACTCATGTACAAATAGCTTGTGAAAGCTCGCCAACCATTCATGTATGGTGTTTGTGTGTATATGAAGGTGCAATGATAATTTTTAAAAGGCAGGTCCAACACATGTGCTGAATGTAGCCTCTGTTGCCATACAGAAAAACCACTGAGAGTGGCACAACAGCACTGCCGTAGCCGTAGGAGACTCCGTACCTCTTCACTGCGACGTCAATTCCGTCTCATCGTTTGGTCTTTCCAAGTAGCCTATCGTGAATCGGTGCAACTCAAGTGAGTTGGTTGCCCAAGAATCAACGAAATCTATGCAATTACAGTATCATGATAGTATATACAAGAACCGCTTTTCAATACTCTCCTTTACACCTCTGCAGAGTAGACTCAACACGACTCTAGACTCTAGAACTTGTTCCTTCCAAACGCAGTGCTTCAAGGCGCACTCTGAACGCCACAGGCCCAGTAAAGTCGGTCCCAAACAAGTGGCACTTAAAGTTTGACCTGGAGCTGGCAAGGCTGGTCCTGCCTTGAAGTAACCTGGGATAAACCACATTCGAATCCACTTTCCGCCATCCATTGCTGAAACCATCAAAAGTTTTGAAAAAAAGGCTATCTTCCAAAAGGCTTGTTTTGTTCAGTGCCTTGAATTTACATATTCCTTTACCCTCACATTTGGACCTCAAAACATCCCCAAAACCCAGGCGCCTAGACTCAGGGCTTGCTGTGGCAACCCTATCCTTGCATCGTGCCCATCGTGCTCATGGCGTGTGTGGCCATACGCCGAAGGCCGAGCAGGAAGAGCGCCCAATGTTGGATAGATGGGCCTGGGGCGCGGCCTCTTTTGAGACTGAACATCGGGGTTCCTAAAAAGGAGGTACCCCAATAGCTGGATGGTTTATAAGGGAAATTCCCATTAAAATGGATGATTTGGGGGTTCCCCTATCTTTGGAAACCCCCACATGATTCAAAGTCTTCTTTTGAGACTCTCTATGTAGCATGAGTGTCTCAGATGAGCGTAAGCCGAGGAGAGGCCTCAAGAAGGTGCTGGATCCCCAGGCCACAAGGAAAGCCACGGCCTCAGCTAGTCCCTTTGAAGAGTGATTGGCTACGTAGCTGTTGTCTGAAAATAGGGTACTCATGGGCACCCCCAATTCCACTGGCTTATCACCATTTTTCCTACATGGCCATTTGGTACGGTATATCGGTATATCCCTGTATATCCACACCCAAGTGAGATCAAAGCATGTAAGCAAGTCTCACTTATTCCAAGACTTTCCGCAAGAAACACTGGCACTTTCTTTCTAGATTCTGGTCCTCCAAGACATCACCAGAATCACTGAATGTCTCGGGATGTCTCGGGGTTCGGCGGCCAGACCGGCGAGACTTCGATGGGGCATGGCCGGCATGGCTTCCGAGTTAGCACATCATGCAGAATAGTTCCGGCAGGATTCTACCAAGATCTACCAAGTACCTTTAGGTAATTCAACGGGTTGCTATGGAAAATCACCATATCGTTATACGTTATCATCTACAAAGGGACCATGTTCATCTCTTTTCCATGTCTAACTTAGATTGCCAAAGGGTGTACCTTGCAAATTCTCTCTATGCGTGATGCTAAATGGCTGATGTCTTTTGCAGCCATGGTGCTGGATGGTGGCTGAGTGGCTGAGGTGACATATAAATTCCTCTGAAGTGACTTCAAGTCGCTGCTGTTCTTTCCCATACCCTTGCGCAACCATTGCTCACCGTTCTTGTTTCAAAGAGGAAGCTGAAAAGAATCCAGAGGTGTCCCACTCGATGTGATGTGTTGAGCCAAAGCCTCCATTTGAAGTAGATCTGACACAAACTCCAGCTTGAGAAAGAACTGCAAGTTTGCCGATTCGGCATTGCATTTTATGAAAAAGAACACTTGAGATTGGATGTCCCATGATGGATT